TACATGTTTTGAATACAAGGAAGCCAGAGCACCAAAGAAAAGACTTAAAAAAAAAAATCAAGTCTAGTCTTGTATTCTTGCTGAAAACCTTCCAGTGGATTCCCCTGACTCACAATAAAATTCAGACACCTTCCTGTTCTGGTCTGAATGTTTGTGTTCCCCCACAATTCATAGATTGAAAACAGTGCCCAAGATATTATTTAAGGTGGACTTTTTGGGAGGTGTTAGGGTGTGAGGTCAGATTTCTCCCAATGGGATTAGTGGTCTTCTAAAAGAGACCCAGGAAAGGATACAGTAAGTCTGAGACTACAAAGACGGCCCTCACCAGACCATGCTGACATCCTGACTTCCAGCTTCCAGAACCGGGGTGAGGGGGGAGTTGTTTATAAGCCACCCAGTCTGTGGTATTTTATTGTGCATGTGTAATAAGTTGCTTCAGTCGTGTCCCAATTCTTTGTGACCCTATGGCCCGCAGCTCACCAGGCTCCTCTGTCCATGGGATTCTCCAGGCAAGAACACTGGAGTGGGTTGCCATGCCCTCCTCCAGGGGATCTTCCCAACCCAGGAATCAAATCCTGCATTACGGGCAGGTTCTCTACTGTCTGGACCACTAGGGAAGCCGAACGTGAAGAAGAGGATTCCCTTTCTATTCTAGGACGCCCGCTACATCTGTCTGACCTCCTGCCCGACCCTGCTTACCCGCTTCTCACACTGACACTGTTGTTGTTCCTCTAACAAGGCTAAGCAAGCATCTTTTGTTGGTATTACGTCTCAGAAATCATTTACTATTCTGCTTGGACCAACTATTGCTGTCTTGCTCCCCTACTTTTAAGGTTTTTGCCCAAATGCTTTTATAGGAGAGGCCTAGCCACACCCTCTTTTTTGTCATAGTAGTGCCTACTCCCAGCTCATAAATCTTTCCCAAGCATACTTTTCTCCATAGCAATGTGTGTGTTAGTCGCTCAGTGGTGTCCAGCTGTTTGTGACCCCATGGACTATAGCTTACCAGGCTCTTCTGTCCATACAATTCTCCAGGCAATACTACTGGAGTGAGTAGCCATTACCTTCTCCAGTGGATCTTCCTGACCCAGGGATTGAACCTGAGTCTCCTGAATTGCAGGCGAACTTTTTTTTACCGTTCTTTACACATCACCATGCTAGACATGTATTACTCCATATCACATTACCCCTAACATCTAGCAAGAAAACAACAGACCTTGCTTATTTCCATTTCTATAAGTCAGGAGTTGGAGTGGCTCACCATTTCATAAAGTTTCAGGGGACAGAGCTTAAGTCACATCAAGAATCTAAGGCAGCTGAAGGTCCGACTGTAGCTGGTGGATCCCCTCAGAAGAGGCTTGTTCACACGCTGATAGCAGGAGGGTTTCGGTTCCTGCATGGAGCCGCTTGAGTGTCCTTGTAACATGGCAACTGGCTTCCCTCAAAGTAAGCAAGTGGAAATCACAGTGTCTTTAAGTCACACACGGCCATTTCTACAATATGCTGTTACTCACAAAGGTCAGCCCTAATCAGTGTGGGAGGGAGTATGTGAGTACATGAATGGGGTGTCTTGGGGACCATTTAGGGCAATTGGCCACCAGTAGGATTTGTTGTTTCTAATTTCCCAGTTTTAGCACTGGAAGTCCAGTATGCCAGGAACTGCCTCCATCCTGGGCAGACCAGGATAGTCAGTCCCATTATAGCTTAGTTCTCCATCTTCAGATTACAAACTCCCTGGGAATAGGGACTCCTTTCCTTGCTATGTACTCCAAACCTAGAACAGTGCTGGCACATGGATTGTTTAGTATGTGTTGAACAAATCTTTTGTGATGATTTTTATTCCAGAAAATTCTATTTTGAGATTATCAAAATCTTTTAAAAATAGCTGAGTCCTCTGGATACCCATCTTCAGAAATATAGTTAGTATGAACCCAACAGGGATACACAAAACAATGTATATTTTCAAGCTTCTCTAAAATTAAAGCAGAGAATGGTTATGTTAAGTAAAGAATTTTTGTTTTCTCTTTTCCATTATCTGTGGTTCTTCAAGCATCTGTTCCTTCTTCAGGTCATTTCCTCCCTGCCTCTTTCCATCTATTTCATGACTCATTTCAGCATCTTTAAACTCACCGGAGTATTTTCACTTTTCCTTCAAAGGGACTCTACTTTCTCCATCATGTGAATTTCCCCAAGGGCTGCAATTCTATTAATACTTGGTCTCCTGGAGAGCCTTCTCGTTCCTCTTAGTCTACCCTCCAGCACACAGATCGTTACAATAATTATCCTCAGCCATCTTTTCTCTTGTGTCGTTCCTTCTGCTCAAGAATGGTTATCTGTTGCCCATAGACGGAGGTTACATTCTTTTGCCTGGTTTTCAGTATCTCCTATCACCTCTCCTCGATACCTGTATCTCCAGGAACATGTGTGTAAACGTGAAGAAGAGGATTCCCTTTCTATTCTAGGACGCCCGCTACATCTGTCTGACCTCCTGCCCGACCCTGCTTACCCGCTTCTCACACTGACATTGTTGTTGTTCCTCTAACAAGGCTAAGCAAGCATCTTTTGTTGGTATTACGTCTCAGAAATCATTTACTATTCTGCTTGGACCAACTATTGCTGTCTTGCTCCCCTACTTTTAAGGTTTTTGCCCAAATGCTTTTATAGGAGAGGCCTAGCCACACCCTCTTTTTTGTCATAGTAGTGCCTACTCCCAGGTCATAAATCTTTCCCAAGCATACTTTTCTCCATAGCAATGTGTGTGTTAGTCGCTCAGTGGTGTCCAGCTCTTTGTGACCCCATGGACTATAGCTTACCAGGCTCTTCTGTCCATACAATTCTCCAGGCAATACTACTGGAGTGAGTAGCCATTACCTTCTCCAGTGGATCTTCCTGACCCAGGGATTGAACCTGAGTCTCCTGAATTGCAGGCGAACTTTTTTTTACTGTTCTTTACACATCACCATGCTAGACATGTATTACTCCATATCACATTACCCCTAACATCTAGCAAGAAAACAACAGACCTTGCTTATTTCCATTTCTATAAGTCAGGAGTTGGAGTGGCTCACTGTTTCATAAAGTTTCAGGGGACAGAGCTTAAGTCACATCAAGAATCTAAGGCAGCTGAAGGTCCGACTGTAGCTGGTGGATCCCCTCAGAAGAGGCTTGTTCACACGCTGATAGCAGGAGGGTTTCGGTTCCTGCATGGAGCCGCTTGAGTGTCCTTGTAACATGGCAACTGGCTTCCCTCAAAGTAAGCAAGTGGAAATCACAGTGTCTTTAAGTCACACACGGCCATTTCTACAATATGCTGTTACTCACAAAGGTCAGCCCTAATCAGTGTGGGAGGGAGTATGTGAGTACATGAATGGGGTGTCTTGGGGACCATTTAGGGCAATTGGCCACCAGTAGGATTTGTTGTTTCTAATTTCCCAGTTTTAGCACTGGAAGTCCAGTATGCCAGGAACTGCCTCCATCCTGGGCAGACCAGGATAGTCAGTCCCATTATAGCTTAGTTCTCCATCTTCAGATTACAAACTCCCTGGGAATAGGGACTCCTTTCCTTGCTATGTACTCCAAACCTAGAACAGTGCTGGCACATGGATTGTTTAGTATGTGTTGAACAAATCTTTTGTGATGATTTTTATTCCAGAAAATTCTATTTTGAGATTATCAAAATCTTTTAAAAATAGCTGAGTCCTCTGGATACCCATCTTCAGAAATATAGTTAGTATGAACCCAACAGGGATACACAAAACAATGTATATTTTCAAGCTTCTCTAAAATTAAAGCAGAGAATGGTTATGTTAAGTAAAGAATTTTTGTTTTCTCTTTTCCATTATCTGTGGTTCTTCAAGCATCTGTTCCTTCTTCAGGTCATTTCCTCCCTGCCTCTTTCCATCTATTTCATGACTCATTTCAGCATCTTTAAACTCACCGGAGTATTTTCACTTTTCCTTCAAAGGGACTCTACTTTCTCCATCATGTGAATTTCCCCAAGGGCTGCAATTCTATTAATACTTGGTCTCCTGGAGAGCCTTCTCGTTCCTCTTAGTCTACCCTCCAGCACACAGATCGTTACAATAATTATCCTCAGCCATCTTTTCTCTTGTGTCGTTCCTTCTGCTCAAGAATGGTTATCTGTTGCCCATAGACGGAGGTTACATTCTTTTGCCTGGTTTTCAGTATCTCCTATCACCTCTCCTCGATACCTGTATCTCCAGGAACATGTGTGTTTTTTTCCCAGGCTACAGAACAGTTCTCCAGCACCAGCTAGTGTCCTCCAGTTCAACTTGATTCTAACACTATCTACCTGGAGATGAAGTCAGATCCCACAAGCCAAAGTGTGCAGTCCTGCATGACTGACCCCACTTCAGAAGCCAATTCCAGGTCCAGGTTGTGGTGCGTCTGACCAACTGGCTGTAAATCAGAGGTTTCCAAGACCTCCTCTTCAGTCTTGAGTAATTTATTACTAGAGCAGCTCACAGAAATCTGGAGACTAGTTTACTCACTAGATTACCAATTTACTACAAAGGAAAGTTTGTACAAAGGTAGCTTCGGTCGTGTGACTCTTTGTGACCCCGTGAACTATAGCCTGCCAGGCTCCTCTGTCCATGGGATTCTCCAAGCAAGACTACTGGGGTGGGTTGCCGTTTCCTACTTCAGGGGATCTTCCTGACCCAGAGATCTAACTCACGTCTCCTGTGTCTCCTGCATCTCCTGCATTGCAGGCAGATTCTTTATCACTGAGCCACCAGGGAAGCCCTACCAAGGAAACTAAAGGATGTAAATGAATGGCCCAATGAAGAGTTACTTAGGGTGAGGTTGGAAGTGTCCCGAACAAAGATTCTCTCTCCCTGGAGTTTTGGTTATGACATCCTCTCAGCTAGCCTACCCAGGGATGTCCAAAAGTCACCTCATCAAGATAACAAAGACACATTTATCATTCTCATCATTTAAGACCTTCCAAGGGTTTTAGGAACTCCATGCCAGGAATGGGACAGAGACCAAATATCTGTATTTTATTATCACAAAATCACATACATAATATCCTACTGGTTCTAAATTAATACACCTTTATTTGAAATTTTTCTTTCTTGTTAAGGATGATAAGAAATTCACAAGTAACTAACAGAATCAAGATGGGTCAAGTACAATGAGATACAAAGGAAGTGGCGATGAGTATTTAGAATAGAAAAATGGCATCAACTAGGGAGATAAGTTTTCATTAAGGAGTTGACATTTCAGATGGGTACTGAGGAGGTGGGGATAATGAGGACTTCATCTGTAGGTGGAAATAAAGGGGGTAGAGAAGAGATCCTGTGGACAGAGGAAAGTAAGGGGCATATTTAGGAAGATTACATACCTAGCTTGTGTGATACAAAAGAAATGGTAAAGAAAGGGAAAGAAGACAAGGAAGTATTAAGGTATCACCTTAGGGTAAAGAGTTAAATTCTAGAATTTGCCATTCACTTTGCAGTTGGTAAACAGCAGAGACTCAGAGTGTTTCTGTTTTTATGGGCATGAGGAATATAACTGGACCTTGAGTGGATCCAGCAGCAGTACCTGCAATTGATTGGAAAAAACATTAGAAAAGACCAGGTCTATCATCAACAGGTCCCTGATAAATGCAAGCCCACTGACCAAGAGAACTTTGAGTTAAATTTCTCCTCAGCACATCAAGGTACTATGTTAATGTGTTTTCAAAAATCACTTCTCAAGATTTTTAGGGAGAAAACAGTAAAAATGTTGCAGAATGAGAATATAAATACTGCTTTAAACATAGATTGACCTTCCAAAACGAACTTGAGCCCTGCTTTATTGTTTCAGATCAAAATGCATGATCAGTGTATGCTTTTCCCATTGTATGGTTTTGCTCAGCATTTCCTATAAGTGAACAAGACATCTTTCTATACCTCCTCTGCAATTAAAAAAAAAAAATCCATGCTTCCCATTTTAATGACTGTATAAATTCTCATAGTAAAAGGATCTGTAGTTTCCCACTGAACTGAATCAATCACTAGGTTTATTGTTAGCACATCTTAAAACCAGAAACAGGACTATATGTAATGTCCCCCACTCCCCGACATGCCAGAAACACATACACACACACATATAAGATGAAAACCCTCGACATCCCAATGTTTGATAGACTTAAGAGTACCATTATTACGTTGTGTAAATTTATAGTCACATAGGGCTTCCCTGGTGACTCAGTAAAGAATCCGTAAATTTGTAAAGAATCCACCTGTATTGCAGGAGACCTGGGTTCAAGCCCTGCATCATGAAGATCTCCTGGAGAAGGAAATGGCAATCCACTCCAGTATTCTTGCCTAGGAAATCCCAAGGAAAGAGGAGCCTGGCAGGCTACACTCCATGGGGTCCCAAGAGTCAGGTATGACTTAGCGACTAAACCACCACCATTCTTCAACAAATACTATTAAAGTGCATATGTAGTTATAACGCAAGTGTCCACAGAGAGTTGGCATGTCTCCACCATAGGGCTGGTAACACATTTTCCTACCCTACCTACCTACCTCCCTATCCCCAGCCCCTGTTAATTTATAGTTTATAACATTTGATTCTAGCTTTACTGTTTATACCAAATCTTGAGTTTAATCTCTTTGTAAGCTGCAGCCCATGGGGTCGCAAAGAGTCGGACATGACTGAGCGACTGAACTGAACTGACCGAAGCTTATAACACATTCTTTAATTATTTGAGTTAAATTTAACTTATTTTTCTCCTCATAGAAGAAACTGAAAAGACCTTTAAACTTTCTGACTTCATGGCCAAGAGTATTTTTTCCAATGAAGAAACATACACATAAAAAAAAGAAACCTGGTAACAAACTATTTTATAAATAGGTTACTGTATTTTTCTTCATGTCCAGAAACTCTTGCTGAAACAGAAGTCAGGGATATTCCTCACAAACCCACACAGCTCATAGATCTAACACCAGGTTTTCATTTGTACTGAAATGGGCAAGATGATGAAGGCACAGGCTCACTTTTGTTTTGATAAAGGACGTCAAACACAGTCATGAGGCACTAATGACAGGGATGCATCATCAGTCACGAAAAGCAAGCGGTCAGAGTTTTCAGTCACTTCTCTCCCTTTAACGTTTGGCAAAATTCAGCCTAGATATTTTAATACCTCAGAAAGAAAAACTAAATATGAGATGCTACATTAAAAGGTCAGGTGATATATTATCACTCTTTAGACACAGAAGGGAAGGGATGAAATAAAGAGAGGGGACCACAGATTTTCTGTATTCTTGGATTATCCTTCCTTTCTGAGGGGCTCAGATGTCTGCGTGCATCTGTTGAATGCCATCTCTACCTGAAGATTGAAGAGATGGTTGGTAGCTGCGGACATGGTCCCTCGACATTATTAAAAGTTTCTATCACACAAACAGAATTAGCTTGATTTCTGCTCTTTAGTCCTGTGTGAAAAACTAAGCCGAATTTGATTATCTATAAGTGATCTAAAAACTTTAAAGTAAAGGAAAATATATATTCTAGCTTCCTAAGAAGAAACAGATTACAGGTTTCGACTTCAATGGCAAATAAATACATTTGAAAGCCAAGCAAGTTTCTCTCCTGCCGGGGAGTCAGACTATGAAAACAGTTCTGGTTTCTCTACGGTGGATGACCACATCACTCATAGAACATACCAGGAACTAGTTTCACAATTTTAAGAGACTTTTTTCCGTAATATGAAAGGTGAGGGTTGAATCTAGTTCTGAGCAGGCAGAATAGATCTGCACTCACAACATCCTTATCACAAATACATGACAAATGAAACAACAAAGTGTGGCCGATCTCTGTTTACATCAAGACCTTGTAGACACATGATATCTAAGTACTTGCTTTCTATGCGCTAATATTACCCATTGCCAAGACTCCAACTTGGCAGTCAGTGGAGTGTGCCATTTACAAGGAAGCCTGAAATCTACAACTGCAGAAATAACATGGAAATGTATCAGCCTATCTAACGTAAATATATTTTCAAAAAGTTTTCCTAGGAAATTGACTTTAATAGTATCTCCCAAGTCTTTCAACCAAAGTGACTTTGATCATTTTTGTCTTTTTATGTCAAAATCCACCAAAAATTTTTAACTGTGTCCAATATTAGGAACAAGGAGCCAATACAACATGTGTTCACAATTAATTGTTAATATTTCAGTGAGTTACAATAAACTGTTTTTGCATGCTTGAAAAATTGTGAAGAAAACATTAAGGAATACTTATGGGAGGATCTCAATAATTGGGTGTTTTCATTTTGCTTTAAAAACAACTTCTAATATTCAACTCCAACAACACAGTAAGTGTGTGTATATATATATACACATATATATAAAGTTCATTTCCATGCTCATTACATAAAAATAACTATGAGAAATATCAATCTATCAGTGTCAGCTGACATATATCCAATGAATTCACTGCAGAGGAGGGGGAAAGACCAAAAAAATTCTAAAGTAATCAGTAAAGCTCACAGTTTGAAAAGATTTGATTTTTTTTTTTTTTTTTGCTTGCTTGAAATTCTTTTGGTAGTTTGTGCTCTGTCATAATAAGCCAATTCCCAGACTAATGGCCTCCAAGCAGATTTGAAAGGAAGCCTGAAGACTTCTTATTTTGCTGGCCTTCTGCTTCCTGGTCTTGTGACAGTCCCAATTCACTCTCAATTTGATCAAGCTCTGACTGGTCCAGGAGTTCAAAGTCATCGCCCTCCTCCGTGTCTGTGTCCTCCCCGGGGCTGGGAGCAGCCTGAGACAGCACTTGGCGCACGCCTGCCAACTGGTCTTTGACCGCGGCGGTCACCGCGGCCGTGATGACGTCCCCAGCCAGGTTGCTCATCAGGTTCAGGGTCTGGTCACTGCTCAGAGGAAGGGTGAGACCAGCTGCTGACTTCTTCTCTACGCTCTGTCTGGGACCACTGTCCAACTGCTCCTTTTTTCTCTTGAGCTCAGTGGGCAAGCCAAGGCTCAATTCATCTTCATCGTTTGTTCCCGTGCCATTTTCTAGCGATGGAAAATCTGAAAGGTCTCGAGAGAAAACTTCCTCACTAGGTCGGTCAAGATCTGTAAAATGCAGGATAGAAGTTGAGGCTTAAGCAAAACCATAATAATTTTTTTTTTTAATGATTCAACTTTTAACTGATGAAGCTGTTGTTGTTTAGTCTTTAAGTCATATCCGACTCTCTGGCAATCCCACAGACTGCAGCCCATTGGGCTCCTCTGTCCATGGGATTTCCCAGGCAAGAATACTGGAAGTGAAAATGAAATGAAAGTGAAAGTCTCTCAGTCGTGTCTGACTCTTTGCGACCCCCATGGACTGTATACAGTTCAGGCCAGAATACTGAAGTGGGTAGGGTAGCCTTTCCTTCCCAGGGGATCTTCCCAACCCAGGGATCGAACCTAGGTTTCACCCCATAGTCCATGGGGATCACAAAGAGTCAGACACAACTGAGCGACTTTCACTTAAGAATATTGGAGTGGGCTGCTATTTCCTTCTCCAAGGGGGATCTTCCCGACTCAAGGGTAGAACTCATCCCCTGCGTTTCCTGCATTGGCAGGTGGATTCTTAACCACTGAGCCACCAGGGAAGCCCAGTTTATGAAGTAACAGTTTACTATCACAGACATACAAAAAAATGGAAAAATCATAGGTTTATAAGACCCTGTAAAGCCATAATAAATTTGAAGTCTGAATTGTCTAAAAGATCCCTGCTTTTAATTGGAATCCTCTGGATCACCTTGGCATTCTTCTAGACTCCCAGCTCAGCTTCAATCAACTTAACCATATATCGGATTCCTCCAAAGTCTGGGACTCTCCACAAGTACACAAATACATTGTGTCCCCTGATGGCCTTAACTTTCCTCTTTAAGGACAAGAAGTGTGTAATGACTTACTATTCAACTTATCTAAAAGTCAGCTTGGGCTCTGATTAGAGTTTAATGACAGTGAAAATGATAGTCACTCAGTCTTGTCCAGCTCTTTGTAACCCCATGGACTGTAGCCCGCCGGGCTCCTGTATCCATGAAATTCTGCAGACAAAAATACTAGAGTGGGTTGCCGTTCCCTTTTCCAGGGGATCTTCCCAACCTAGGGATCAAATCCAGGTCTCCTGCATTGCAGGCAGATTCTTTACCATCTGAGCCACCGGGGAAGCCCCTGAGACAACATGCTTAAAATCAAAGGGTTTGTTATCCTGATCTTGCAGATGTTTACAGCTTGTAGAGCTTGAGAGGACTTCAGTGAGCCTCTTGTTCTAATGCACTTTAAAGATGAGGAAATTGAGACCCACAGAAATTAATTATGTCACTGTGCAAGGCCATTTAGTAAGTTAATGACAAAGGCAAGGCTACACTTGGGTTTCCCAATCTCCCAAACTGTATTATTTCAACATCACATAGCCTTCTTCCTTCCTCTAGAAAAAGGAAGTATGTTCTTGCCTGTAAAGACATGTAAAATAATTTATTCATAATCCTCCATTATAATTGCTTATATTTTCAGTATATGGTTAAAATAATCCAATGAGACTACCAAAACTTATTGCACAAGAGTTGTCTCAAATTTTATTTTAAATTGTACTTAACTTAATTATAAAAAAGAAGAAAGCCTTTTTTTTTTTTTAACTAACTTGGAAGAAAAATACGAGCAACCCTGAAGTCAGCTTTTGATTCAGGAAACCTGACCCCACGGTTCAGTCCCTCTTAATGAGAGCTGGCCCTGGGTATACGGGATTAGCTTTTCTCTTCCCCTCTCCCCCTACTGTGGTCTTTGCTGGTGGCTCAGATGGTAACGAATCTGCCTGCAATGCAGAAGACCCAGGTTCAATCCCTGGGTTAGGAAGATTCCCTGGAGATGGGAATGCCTACCCACTCCAGTATTCTTACCTGAAGAATCCCATGGACAGAGGAGCCTGGTGGGCTACAGTCCACGGGGTCACAAGGAGTTGGACATGACTGGGCGTGTATGTGTACGTGTCTCACTATTTCCCATTACTGCTATAAATAATGCCACCAGACATTCCAGAAGTTTTTTCATTGTCAATTGTTTTAAAAATAAAGGCAGATTTGGACACTGACTGGCTTAGATTTTTTTCTCACACTCTTAAATAATAGATTTTGAGATATAATTCATGTACTATAAAACTTACCCTTTTAAAGTGTACAGTTAAGTGGTCTTTGGTACATTCACAAGGCTGTACAATAGCTCCACTCTCTAATTCTAGAACATTCTCATCACCCAAAAGGAAACATATTAATTACCAGTCACCCACCAGTCCCTCTTCCCCCAGCCCCTGGCAGTCACTCATCTAATTTCCTTCCATATGGATTTGTTGTTCTGGATATTTCATATACATGGAGTCACACAATGCATGGACTTGTGTGTTTGGCTTCCTGCACTCAGCATATCATGTTCAAGGTTTATCCATATGGTAGCAGGTGTCAGTGTTTCTAGAGCCGAGTGATATTCCATTGCATAGACGTACCACACTTTATCTAGTTAGAAGCTGACACAGTTAAATACTTTTGCATGGACTCAAAATAACCGAGCATCTACAGGCGTGAACATACCGTCAGAAGTGTCTGTCTGTGGAGTGTATCCTTCTGAGAGGTTGAAGGTCCCATTGTCCGTCCAGGAGACCTCCGACACATCGGTGTCAGACACAGACAATTCTTTGGCGGCAGTGGTAAGGCTAATCTGTATTAATATAAATGCCAGTAACACATTTCAAACTTCTATGGGAGGTCTTTCTAAAAATCCAACTAACACCGAAAATGTCAGAATAATAAGAACCAGATGAGGGTTTTCCTTTTAATAGTTTATAATCATCTTAGAGAAATAGGAGAAGTTGTATTAAGAAAATCATTCCAGTTTTGGTACAAGTAGATACATTGACAGGCAAACCACACAGGAACGAATTGAAAACTGAACAAAAAATACCTTAGGACAAAGAGCTGAAAAGTCTAATTCACTGTCATCTTTGTGACTTTTTTCTTTATCTGCTTCTGTTGAGAAAAAATTTGGAAGCTTTCAGTTTCCTGGCTGGCTCAGACAGAGTGTATTTTATCCATTATATATCCTGATCCCACAATCTTCATATCCTCCAATGCCTCCACATAATTAAATGTCTGCACATAACGAGCATCACCTATTTGCAAGTGCTTGGTTTCCGAGGGAAATGGTCCATATCAGTGGCTCTCACAGCGTGGCCCCTGTCCACAGCAGCAGCAGCAGCACTGGGAATCTTTCAGAAACACAAATTCCCAGGCCCTCCCCCAGACCAACTCAATCAGACACTCTGGGGGAAGCCGCGTAATCTAAGCTTTATGAAGCTCTCGAGATAATTCTGGTGCTCGCTCTAGTTGAGAATCTATAAGGTCAGAGGCCAAGTTAAAATGTGAAAAAGGATCGCACCGGCCTTCCCTCTATTTTCTCTTCCTTCCCCTCTTCCATGGTTCCCACTCTCTGCCCTGCCTGTGTCACTTGTTATTTGCAAGCAATTACTCCAAAAGAAAACAATGTAGAGAAAGTAAACAATAAATAGTAAATATAGACCTCCGAAGCCTTTTCTCTTTCCCCCGATAGTTTGGATTAAAAAGTCACTTTATTATACGTGTGAGAAAAGAATAATACAAGCCTAAATAGGAAAAGGCTATGTTACTTTGTGGGGGAATCTGCTTCTGTAATAATATGTAGTTAATGGCTAAAACGCCCTAAAATGCATGCAAAGTGATTTCATAATAAAGAGCCAGCAATGCCTCATTTCAGGTGTGGAATCTAAAATCCAAATGTTACCTACCAGATCTCTCACGTTTCTTCTGGTTAATATATTCTCTGATTCCAAAATCTAGTTTCAGGAGAAATGACTTGATTTTGCTGTATATTTTTTGTCCAATATCATTACACTTGAACAGTGGACACAAAAATGCACACAGCACTGAAAGATAAGGAGGAAGAGAGGTTAGGGGAAATGACCTTGCTTTCCAACTACCTATTAGTATTTCACAAAATTATTTCAGTTCCTTTACTGACAAAGTGGGTTTTTTTCCTTGGGGAAATGCCTCTGTGAAACAAGTTCATAATTTCCTTGTAATGAAAACATTTTCACCTACACACATACACACACACACACACCTCATGGTCATTGTTCTCAAAGACTTTGAAATTAGATAACCCCATCCGCTCCAACCCTCTTACACTCAAAATTCATACAAAATTCATACGTGGTTCTCACACAACAGTCCTGGATTAACATATCAACTCTACTCATTTGTTAAATGACATTTCTCCATAGAAAAGTTACACTATCCCTTAGCCTCTCATCAGTCATATTAGGATAATAACATCATCTCTGGGGGTTGCTGTGAAGAATAACTGAGATGAATACAGACCATCTGACTAATGCCTGGCCCATATTTAGACCCTCTTTCCCTGGCTCTCTTCTTTCTCTCTTAAACAAGGCAGCTCAAGGGCTGACACAGCCCACGTCAGTTCTACCTGGGAGAATGGATTTAAGCTCTGACCATCTGCTTTCCCTTGCGGCTCAGCTGGTAAAGAATCTGCCAGGAATGTGGGAGACATGGGTGTGATCCCTGGGTTGAGAAGATCCCCTAGAGAAGGGAAAGGCTATCCATTCCAGTATTCTGGCCTGGAGAATTCCATGGACTATACAGTCCATGGGGTCGCAAAGAGTCAGACATGACTGAGTGACTTTCACTTCACTTCATCTGCCTTTTGTGCTAGGCTTTAGGAATATGAAAAGAAATGAAGATCAACACAGTATGCCCTAATCAACATTGTATGCCCTCATGTTTAGTTCTTTGCCAGTTGTTAGGACACATGCCCATTTACCTTCTTTAAATAGGAGTTGTAAACTCAAATATCTTTAGAAGCCGAGAAGGTATATGTAAAATGTAAAGGCTGGTGCAAGAAAAATATGGAAATGTGAAGGTTAGTTTAGTGGAGAGTTGCTGCCCCATCGAAAAAGGTGGCAGGGCCAGACTGTCACATTTTTCAGGAAAAGCATGAAGTCACAAGTTTTTTACAGCACCTCTGAGTTATAGTTGATATATGATAAATTGCATACATTTAAAGTGTACAGTTTGAAAAGTTTTGACACATGCATATAACTAAGAAATTGTCTTTATGACAAATAATGAACATGCCTGCCAGCCCCCAAAGTTTCCTCCTATTTCTCTTAGCCCTTCCTCTCCTGCCTTTCCCAACCCCACCTACCTCATCCTAGGCAATCATTTATGTGTGTTGTTACTAAAGATTACTGTGAATTATAAATAAAGGGAGTCACACAGTGTGTAGTTTCTTTTTAAACCTGGCCTCGCCCACTCAACCTAATTACTTTTCTATTTATCCAGACTGTTGCATTTATCAATTTTTTAGTGTTCAGTAGTAATCCACTGTATGAATTATATCACAATTTGTTTACCCACTTATCTATTGATGGACATACGAATTATCTTCTGATTTCAGCTACTACAGATAAAGTGAAAGTTGCTCAGTCGTGTCCGACTCTTTGCAACCCCATGGACTATACAGTCCATGGAATGCTCCAGGCCAGAATCCTGGAGTGGGTAGACTACAGGTAAAGCCTCTATGAACATCTATGGACAAGTCTTTGTGAAGGTGTATGCTTTCATTTCCCTTGGGTAAATAAATACCTTGCTTTGAAATGGCTGGGTCATAGAGTCGTGTTCTGAAAAACTGCCAAATTGTTATCCAGAGTGGCTGTGCCATTTTACCGATCCACCAAGAGTGCATGAGAACTCTAACTGTTCCATATCCTGCCTAATACTTGATACGGTCAGTAGTTTTAATTTCTGCCACTTTGGTGGGGGTATAATGGTGTCTAATTGTGCTTTTTTTAAAAAAATAACTTTACTTATTATTTTTGGCTGTGTTGTGTCTTCATTGCTGCGTGGGCTTCTCTCTAGTTGGGGCGAGCAGGGGCTTCTCATTGCTGTGGCTTTTCTTGCCGTGGAGCACAGCCTGTAGGGTGTCTGAGCTTCAGTGGCTGGAGCACGTGGGCTCAGAAGCTGTGGCTCCTGGGCTCCAGAGCACAGGCCCAATAGTTGTGGTGCACGGGCTTAGCTGCTCCAAGGCATGTGGCATCTTCCCAGACCAGGGATCAAATCCATGTTTCCTGCTTTTGGCAGGCGGATTCTTCACCACTGAGCCACCAGGGATGCCCTCATTGTGCCTTTAATTACATTTGAGCTGTCAATCACCACAATGGCAAAGGAATTAATGTGTTTTGGAGCGGTGGAGAATATAACCTTATTGTTTTATTGACACAATTTAAAAATAAAATGAGTCATTTACAACCTTGCTTTTTGACAGTGATTTGTACAATTGTGGATAAGCAACATGTCTCTAGAAAAAGGAGAAACTTTGAAGAGCAGAAAATTAAAGAAGAGTCAACTTGCTTTATAATCAAGAACTCATACCTGCTCTTCTAAGTTATGGAAGTTCCTTATAGACCATTAAAGAACATCGTATGTGTTGTATCAATTAGCCGAATGCTCTACATACTTACACAGTAGATAGCTGAGTATAACCCCAGGAATGTAACTCCCCAAGATGGTAAAAAAGGTGCACACACTGCAGACCAGCAGACAAAACTGGAAGGAACAGAAGTAACGTGACAGTTACTCACTTGCTCAAAACACCAAGACACTTCAGAGCAGAGGACAGACACACAATTGTTCATCTGCTTGCCATCTATCATGTTGTGGCAAATGTTCTTCAAACAGTGTTCTCTGCACTTAATGACTGCTGTGTTCAACGAGCCTTAACCCACTTTCACATCTAATAATAATCATTTTGAAGATTCCAGAAACTAATTTCTGGTGCAGAGGACATCTCCCATTAATCATGCCAGCGGCTATCTTACTAGATGCAAGAGACCTGAAGAGTAGTATGTACCCGGAAACTTCTTTTTTTTTTGTCATTTATTTTTATTTATTTATTTATTTATTTTATTAGTTGGAGGCTAATTACTTTACAATATTGTAGTGGTTTTTGTCATACATTGACAAGAATCAGCCATGGTTTTACATGTATTTCCCATCCCGATCCCCCCTCCCACCTCCCTCTCCGCCCGATCCCTCTGGGTCACTCAATGAAAACAACGCAGCCCAGGAATGAAATCTGTAAGTTCAAACTACATCTGTATGTCCATGAAAATCCACAAATCCAGCAAAACACGTTAGACAAATTAGAGGTATTTACATTAACACAACAGCAATTTACCCAGAGGGTAAGCAATTGTGATTGTAGATTACCAGTAGATTGTAGGATAAATCTACTGGCCATTACTGTCCTCCTTTCTAACCATCTGCCCCTCAAACCGACTCCACTCCTATGTCACCTGGAAACCAACGATGAGTGAAACTAAATTCCTACGGCAAAATTCAGTTATTTTCTTTCCCTCTGTCAGTTGTGGCCAAAAGAATCTCAGTTGTTTTAGGAAATTAAAACATCAAGACAGAAAAATTGTCCCATAAAGTCTTCACTTCTTTCCCATACTCTATTCTTTAACTATCTTACTCCTTTGCTTTAAATTATGGTACTAAATTTCACTGATAAGCCAAGGAAATTCATTAAAGGAATTTCAAAATAAGTCATGAGGATAGCATATATAATTCTGATCAACAACTGAGAAAGAGAAACAGGAAGGGGGTCTAAAATTCAGATTAATTTTGATTTTTGATTCTTGGCACAGGGTTAACAAATTCACTAGTCAAAGGAAAACAGATGAACCTGTGGGAACAAAATTAAGAGCTGTTTCTCAAGTATCAGGGGTCCTTGAAGAATATGGAATTCTACTAGCAAAATGGAAGAGGAAAGACCATAAAAGTTAAAAGAACAGATAAAAGCATTACTATATACAGAATTCAGTTTTGCAAAGGGATTTCATATTATCCACTAAATCTGTATTAAGAGCATTGTTATCTTAAGGCTAACTGACTTGGGGCACATTAGTGTAACCCAATGCAGAAGTCTAAGTTCAGAATCTTCTGACAATGTGTTTAATCATTTCAATAAAAGAAGCAAGAAAAGCACAAACTCACCCCGCCCCGCCACCATATTGGTATCTATTCTAAAAACTGCCTTCAGTGATTAAAATGATTTATCCATATATAATGTGGCAGCGTTAGTATGCTCAAAAGGTGTCCAAGTATAGTTCTACTTTTCATTGAAGGTTAGATTTCCTGTAAGAGAGGGATTTTAAATGAGGACATTCCTAGGTCCTTCCTTCCCATGACAGGTGGACATTCAAGAAACTTGACTACAGCACTGGAAGGGGAGGGTCTACTGATGGCTCTGCACCTCACCCGTGGTGTCAGGATACAGCCGAAGCTGTTTCTACACATAGAAACACTGCCGTGTGCATTTCTCCTTGCAGCCCCTTCAAACCACTCTTGACTCTTCTCATGGGTTTTCATCTTCATTGGAAAAATACTCATTCCATTCATATGATCACTATGAATGTTGCTGCCAAAGGTTTCCTTTCTTAAGTAAATCATTCAAGAATCTTCACTTTTTTAGACTGAAAGTGAGATTCAGTTACCTCCAAAAGCATCCTCAAAGGGCTATGTGTTCATTCTATCTCCCTTTGACTTGAGAACCAGACTAGATTAACATAAACTGAAATTCTTTTTTTAATTAATTGATTTTTAATTAAAGGACAACTGCTTTACAACATAGTGTTGGTTTCTGCCATATGTTAATGTGAATCAGCCAATTGTATACATATGTCCCCTCCCTTTTGAACCTCTCTCCCACCTCCCATCCCATCACCCCTCTAGGTTGTCACAGAGCCCCTAACACATTTTTATCTTTGGTCTGGTTGAGAAGACAAATCATCATTCATCTTAGCTAAAAAGCTACATAGATACTGATAAAATAGAAATCAAATTCCAACTAAATTATAAGGTTGAGGACTCTCTAGTGCTAACACACTAACATGTTCAGACCTTGCTAATATCAGTTTTTATGGCACATGTTCCTAGTATGTTAATATTCAGAGTTGGAGAACTCCTACAAGCTGATGAAATAGGTTAATTCATTTGTTTCCAAGTTTATTGCATATTTTAAAGCACACACATCATTCTTCTTCCCTGGAAAACTTGCCTTGCCAGGGCTCTGCTGTTTAAACACAGACATTTCTTGAAGAAATATGCTGAAATTCATCCATGATTCTGCAAGACAATGGCTGAACCCAGGTCTTTCATCTGGTTTCGAATTGATAACTTCCCAGCTGAAGAGAGAGAAAGAAAACAAAACTTTTAACTGAACTTTGGATAATTCACTCAATATTCATTGCTTCAGCAGATATTCACTGAGCACCTCCTAGCGACTACACTCGCTGGAAAAGCCACATGAATTCAGAGATGAACAAGTCAGATATATGTCCAGGGAAGTTCACAGGCCAAGGCCAGCATGGAACTCCATGATTTTCTGGTCACAAAAAGGAAAAGCATAGGGTGGAGGCTCTGGGGCATCTTTGAAGATGTCACTTTTATGGTACGATCTGGATTTGCACTCTTTCCTATAAGGACTTCGAAGGGTTCCAGACAAAACAGTGTATAGCATGTGCAAGAGGCCCTGGTGTGAGATGGAGCTGAAGCACCATTGAGCCTGGTGTGGCTGAAACAGAGCAAACCAGAGAATAACACTGCAGGGAGCTGGGATGGTAGGAAGAGACCTTGTGGGATTCTTAGCAATGTTTTAAACCTTAAGGATACAGAAGCCACAGCACCTTGAAAGAAACCTTGGCATAAATTTTATCATCCTCAACATCAACACTAATATTGCATTTTCAGTATACCCTTGATCCTTGCAGAACGCTCCACTGAATCCATGTATGTACAATTTATTGTTGGCAGTTCATGTTGGTCATTCCCCTGCCTCCAAGGATTTAGCCAACAGTAGACCCTGTATATTTACTGTTGAGGAATATCCACTCTAAGTGGATGCACACAGTTCAAACCCAGGTTGTTCAACGGTCAGTGGTACTCCATGTTGGTCAACTCAGTAGAAAACTGCTAAGCTCAACAAGATCTCACAATACCCCATATTTTTCTAGAGTATCTTTTCTCAATCATCATCAAAAAACATGCTGAATGTGGTGCACGTGCCAAGCATGTACTGTGGGTCCCCGTCTTCATTTTTTCCACAGGAACTAAAAACTGTTCACAACTGCTCCAGGAAGGAGACATGCAGACCCTGGGCATTTCTTACAAAGCCATCAAGTTCAAATGCCACTCTTGGAATCCTACCTTATCACATAAATATACCACACAAGATCTACCAAGGGCCCCCAGACTCAAACACTCCACAGATAATTTTAAACAAATGTGCCCAGTAGAGGACACGTGGTTAGTGAAGTGTCCTCCGAGCTGTCACTGCGAGGGGGCCAGCGCGAGACTGATCTCTAGACTGGACTCCACTAGCCCCTGTGGCTCTGACGGTAAAGAGTCTGCCCGCGGAGCAGGAGACCCAGGTTCGATCCCTGGGCGGGGAAGATCCCCTGGAGAAGGTGACGGCAACCCACTCCAGTATTCCTGCCTGCAAAGTCCCGTGACAGCGAGCCTGGAGGGCTACATTCCATGGGTCACAAAGAGTCAGAGGCGACTGAGCGACTAACACTGCCACACACTTTCACTGTTAGTTCAGCTGTTCAGTTGCGTCCGACTCATGTGACCCCATGGACTACAGCACGCCAGGCCTCCCTGTCCATCACCAACTCCCGGAGCTTGCTCAAACTCATGTCCATCAAGTCCGTGATGCCATCCAACCATCTCATCCTCTGTCATCCCCTTCTCCTCCTGCCTTCAACTCAGCCCTACGACAAATCAAAGCCACTTTGGCCCTTAGATGCTCAACTACCTATAAACTTTCAAATCAACACCAAGAAAACTATAAGCAATACAATTTCCCTTTTTAATATAAATTTTAAGCTAATTTAAGTGAGTTCAACAGCACTAAAAAAGAAAAAAAAAATGTCTCGTCCTCCCTCTTTGCTCTATCAGCCTCAACCAAAGCTCTGCCAGACAGTAACTGAGCCTCCAGTGTTCAGGCCGATGCTACTCCATGAAGTAGACATTTGCCAAATGATTTCCCAACTATTGTAAGAAATGAACTTTTGGAGACATCTAGCTATCACTCATTCCATTGTAATCATTAAAATAATAATAATCAAATTAGTTCCATTATGTTTTTCATAGATTTTTGTTAGAATTATATTTGCCAGTCAATTTAACCAAATGCTCATATACTACTTACTATGCCTAGAGAGTAGAAATTAAAGTCTTCATTTATTAGGTTAGCCAAAAATTTTGTTTGGGTTTTTTCATAAGATGCTACCCCAAATGAACTTTTTGGCCAACCCAGCATGTCATGCACTGAGCCAGCCGCAGAGGAGCCTACCCTTGGCAATTTGTTAACAAGCCTATGTTGTTGTAGAAAGGAAGCCATAGGTTAGTAGCCAGTTCAGTTTTCACTCTCCTGTACAAAATTGTTTCCCATTAAGTTGATGCACTGGCAAGGTTTTGTTACAAACAGTGACCTCCTAGCCAAGCACTGACTGTTTCTTTTAATAGGTCTGGAATCATTCATAGGATATGCAGGCCTAGTGCTAGATTTGGTCACCAGTGTCAGCAGGCTTGCTCAGTGAGTCACGAGTGGGTAGAGTTCATGAATACATATGTAATATTGTAATATTGAGAAGGAAAAAATCACAGAAGAATACACACAGCATGATTTCATTTTTATAAAGCTCAAAATCACATTAAGCCAACAGTTAAGGGTATGTTAAAAACAGAAAAAAAAAAAACAAAATTCAGGAGAGCAGTTACCTCAGATGAGAGTGTGTAAGGAATAAGACTTAAGTTGTCAATTCTTGAATATCCTTATGTTATATATCTTAATTCAAGTGCTGGATACACAAGAATGATGTATAAATATCACTGTTCTTAAAGCTATATACACGTACACATTCACAGCCTTGATTTAAAATTCCTTGATTGTTGTTGCTTTTCAGTCACTCAGTNATTTGTCGTTGTTCAGTCTATAAGTCGTGTCTGATTCTTTGTGACCCCATGGACTGCAGCATGCCAGACTTCCCTGTCTTTCATCTATCTCCTGGAGTTTGCTCAAACTCATGTCTATTGAATTGGTGATGCCATCCAACCATCTCATCCTGTCACCCTGTTCTTCTCTTGCTCTTAGTCTTTCCCAGCATCAGGGTCTTTTCCAGTAAGTTGGCTCTTCACATCAGGTGGCCAAAGTATTGGAGCTTCAACTTCAGCATCAGTCCTTCCAATGAATATTCAGAGTTGATAGGATCACCCTCTGCCTCTTTTTAGCTCTGGGACTTGCTGCTCCTGTTCCCCATCACAGGGAAGAAGCTCTGGGGGTGGGTAAGAACACCTCTGTCCCGGTTAAAGAGACAGGATAACATTGATTCAAAGGAAAGTTGGCTACCACTCAGCAATGAGAAAGATGCAGAGACAGGGGACCTGGCAACCCTTAGAGCAAGTTATGATGAGTATGCAGGTTTCAATGACTTACTGTGTTATTTGCCTGCATCTGAGAAACCGTATTCTCCAGAGGCTGACGATGATGCTCCCAGGGCAGTGGTTTATTTTCCTGCACAGCATCTGTTTTACATTCCTACTCTCCGTAAATGTGCGTAGTTGGCTAGTTGCCTGTACTTGCCTCTCGCCCTCCTCCCTGTCCTCTCCTCCCCAGATAGCTTTTCTCTTTGGAAGAACGAGATCATTTCTCTCCATACGCAGGTCTTTCCAGGGAGGAAAACACGGAACAATACCAAATGTGGCCTTTGGTATGTGTATTTCCCCCCAGCCCTGGAGGGAAACTGGGCAGAGCACAGCCGCTGGAAGCTTTTCCCTCTTGTGGACACAGCCCTGAATTCCGTTCTTCCCAGAAGGGCTTGTGACCATGGTGAGTGTTACAGTGAACTCGAGTGGCTTCAGGTGTGACTCCTGCAACTGCGAGGTTTTTCCCTTCTTCCCTCCCCCAAACTCCCCACAATCCCTTTCGCCTTCATTTCTAATTGGGAAAATAGGGGAGGGAGATATGGTTAGAGCAGAGATCCTAAAATAGGTCAGGCCATCGTGCAGGTTCCAAAGTAAACGTCATTAATGCCAAATCACTGAACCATACAGCCCAAGCTGACAGGGCCTCGTATGCCTGCTGTTCCTGACTTGGGATTTTAAAGAAACAGTGAATGTCAGTGGAAAGGACTGAGAAAAGAGCCTCCCCCAAAAGGGAAGGCAGTTTTGGGGTGAGTGGGGGAGAACATGGGATAAGAAAAGTGAAGAATGACCCTACCTTACCAGGATTTTAGTGCAAACCAGAATTTGTGCTTTATTATTCTGGTGGTGATTTGGGGTTATTAATGCGCGGTTGTCGGGGGGGAGAACCGGAATGGTGAGGAGGCATAAACCTATTCTTGCCCCAGTAGTTTGAACTTTATGAGGATGGAAGAGTAAGCACACAACCTCGGATTTTAGACATCAGCACAACTTCATGTTAAATTGTTCTCAGCGGGTATCTTGTAGGGGGATGTGAATATGAATGGCCCTGTTGTTCTAGAGGTTGAATTGCAATTACTGAGATGTGGTAGGAAGCAAGGTCTTAATGTTGCCCAGTAAAACAGTATTCCTTCACTTATGTATGGCACCTATGGTCCATTTAGTTTCACATACACAAAGTAATCTCTTTGGTAGTCAGACTCCCATGAGCCACCTAGAAAACAGGGAAGCAAGAACTCTGTTGCCTAGCAACCAATGGACCATTACAACACTAGATAAATCGAATCAATATTGCTCTAAATATTGAACCCTCAGATGATGAAAAAACACTCAGAGCCCATGTCCATAACTCCTTGACTCCCTCCTTTCTTAGACTCATCTGCTGAGTGGGACCAGCTTGCGTTTTGATGATCTCCAGGGTCCCACTGGGAGGGAGAGAGGGCAGTGTGCTGAGACTCACAGGAGAGTCCATCAGGAATGATTCCAGAGCGGGGATTCCTGAAGGCTGAATCCCTGGAGTTTGGAGCCTCTGCCCACTTTGGCAGCACTGGCTGGCTTGGAATGAGGTTATGGTCCTGAGTTCCTAGCCTACTGGCATCTGGTCAGGGCTCTTTGAAGTTGATGAAACCAAGGTGACTCTGACAACAGTTTCTTATAAAGAGGCCCAGCAGTCAGGGTACCCCACGGTCCGTCCTCCCCTTGCCCCCTCATCACCAAG